AAAAGGCAGGTAGCACTTGGCATTCTGGCACGCCTCCACGTGCCAAGGGGGGCAGGCAGATCCTGCAGGAGTCGCTGCCGGCAGAGAGCTTGGAGTAGCAAAACCCGCGCGGCAGACGGGGCGAGCCGGGCGTGGTTCCGTTGGCGCGCTGCGATGGACGGCCCCGCATTTTCTTCCTCCTCCTCCTCCTCCTCCTCCTCCGCCTCCTCCTCCTCCGCCTCCTCCACCGCCTCCTCCTCCTCCTCCTCCTCGATCTCTTACTCCTCCTCCACCCTCCACCTCCACTCTCCAACCCACCCCGGCAGAATGGTCGCATTTTCCACCGAGCGAGCGAGCCCGACGCCTTCCTTCGGGTCCCCAAACGGGGCGGTGGCCACACCGTGTGGTGGGTCGGTGGGGAGTCGGGGTCACCGCACGGTTTTTGGGGACTCGGGTCGTTCTCCGAGGACGCCTCGGGCGACTGGGGTGTCCGAGGTCCCAAAACCGTGCGTTACGGACCGTGCGGTGAGGTCTGCAGGGATTTCGAGGTCACCGCACGGTCCGTCACCGCACCGTTTCGGGACTCCAAATTCCTGGGCACAGGCGCGGGGCATCCCCCCGCAGCGGTTTCTGCTCTTACGCATGCTCGAATTTTGGCGCGCTGCGCATTTTGCATACCCTGCGCAGTCCTCTTTCCTGCATGGTTTTCCTTTTCGCTCCCTTTCAAGTAACCAGATGGTGGTGTGTGGTCGGTATCGGAGCTCATGATGGTCCTCGTCACGACGCTCGGGATGTTCCCTGGGAGGGTGGCGTGGGATTGGAGACAGCCCGTGGAGCGAGAGAGCGCTCGGCTGGGCGCCGCGACACAGGGCGCCAGCCGCGAGAACGCTAGGCGAACCACACGGATTCACGCAGTCGCGCAGCGTCCTGGCTCGCCGATAGGCCTACCAAAGAATGCTCTAAGAACCTTTTTTGTGGTTTGCACGGAGTGTTCTTAGAACACTTCTGGTTGGGAGCAGTATACCCGGTGTATGGACTAAGAACATGTCCTGGTTGTTCTCAGAACATTTCTGGGTTCTAAGAACATGTCGTGGTAGGCCTATAGGAATGCCGGGACTGCCGGTCCCTGCTCAACGGGTGCAGAGCCGACGTTTGCCGACGATAGAGCTCGGTATATTTTCCACAGCTCGGCGCAAGGCCGGAGGATGTAGGGAGGTTCCTGACACTTCCGTGGGCTGTTCCTCTTGCCGGCGGCGAGCGAGGGGGGCAGGGAGACGGAGAGGGCCTTCTCGTAAGGCGGGGGGGCCTTCTCAGAAGCCCCCGCGCCTTCGGAGGGCATTGCTCTGCCTTAGGGGAAGGTTCAGGAAGCCCCATCGGAAGGCTGTGGGCCTTCCGAGCCTTCTGAGCAGGCCCGCCCCTTCTCGCGTCCCCCCCCCCCGCTCGCCGCCGATCTGTGCGTTTTTGTTTTCTCCAGCAGAAATCGTGGCCCAAGCAATGCTGCCCCGGAACATGCTGAGACTGCCTCGGCGCCCGCGGCCCGCCTGGTCGTCTCTTTCGTTTTTTGTTGTGTTTCTCTCTCTCTCTCTCTCTCTCTTTTTCTCTCTGTTTCTCTCTCTCACTCTCTCTCTCTCTCTCTGTTTCTCGCTCTCTCTCTCTCTCTCTCTCTCTCTCTCTCCCCCATATCTCAGAAGGAGAAAAGGTACTCATAGCATTTTTTTTGCTATCCATGTGCTCTCTCTCTCACTATTTCTTTCTCGCTCTGCCTCTCTCTTTCTCGCTATCTCTCCCTACCCTTCGCCCGTTTTCTCCCTTCGGTGTTCTCCTGGGAGGCCGTCGTCGCCACCGCTGGCTTCGCCTCGACATGCGGGTCCGCACGCACCCCTGGAGCGGTCCAGGGAGTAGCGGTATTGGTACCCTTTTCGGTTTCCCCGCTCTCGCCCTCCCTCTGTTCAAAACGAGGAGATGCTCGAGACGCTGGCCGTCTGTCAGCCACGTGCAGGAGGGGGTTGTGGGGAGGGGGGGAGGGCTTCTGAGCAGCACCCCTGCCTCTCAGAAGGCGCGGGCCTTATCTATAGATGTAAGGCCGGCGCCTTCGAAGAAGTAGCCCTCCTTCTAAGAAGCCCTCCCCCCTCCCTCCACCCTCTTATGCGTGTCGCCAAGTCTGGCGGGGATTCCCAGGGACCCCCGTGCGCGCCGAAGCAACACACAACGTGCGGTGGGCGGTATTTCAGAGTCGCGTCGGTGCGTGTCGGCGCTGCCTTGGCGCATCTGGGAACATCATGCGGGGGCGTATAGGAAACATCAGCGCATATTGAGACGCGTTATCGAGCACGCCTACGGGGAATCACAGCCGCCCCCTGCCTTTTGGAATCGCCCATGTGGCCGAGCGTTGTGGCAAGGGCTCCGCCAAGCTATCGGGCCATGTGCTCCCCCAGCAGTTGTAGAAGCCCTTCGGGGAACACTTGGGGAAGGATGGCTGGGAAGATCAGGAGGAGGAGGAGGAGGAGGAGGAGGAGGAGGAGGAGGAGGAGGGGGCATCTTGGGAGCCCCTGGGGGCACTCTTGGTGCCTCAGACAGATCACAACCACTTCGGACTGTCCAGGAACTACGTCGGTCGGATTGCAACCACTGGAAACTGATTGATCGCAACCTGAAGGATTCCTATACAAACTGTTCTGAAGAACACTGGATTGCAACCGATCAAAGAGCTTCTGCAGAGCTTCTGCTGAGCTCTCAGCGAGGCCTCTGAGAGGCCTCAGCGAGGACTCTTTCAGAGGCTTCAGAGATGCCTTTTCAGAGGGTTCTCTGAAGCCTTTCAGAGGCTTCTCCGAAGCCTTCCAGGGGCTTCTCCGCAGCCTTTCAGAGGCCGCTCTGAAGATAGCTTGTTTTCAGAGGCTTCTCCGAAGCCTTTCAGAGGCTTCCCTGAAGCCTTGCAGAGGCTTCTCTAAAGCCTTTTTTTCAGAGGCTTCTCTGAAGCCTTTTTTCAGAGGCTTCTCTGAAACTTTTTTTCAGAGGCTTCTCTGAAGCCTTTTTTCAGAGGCTTCCCTGAAGCCTTTCCGAGGTTTTTCTGGGAGGTTTCTCTGAGGCATCTCTGAGAGGCTTCTCTGAGGCCTCTGATGGGCTTCTCTGGGGCCTCTGATAGGCTTCTCTGAGGCCTCTAATAGGTTTCTCTGAGGCCTATGATAGGGAGAACTGGGCCCGTCCCTGGGCGTGCCCCCGCGGGGCTCCTCGCGCCTCCCAGGTGCAGCCCGGGGGGCGGCCTCGCAATCCTGCGTCCAGGGGCTTGCCCGTGGCGGGGACGCAGGAAGCCGTCGTTGGGGGGCCTCCTCCGCCTCCTCCTCCTCCTCCTCCGCCTCCTCCTCCTTTCTCTTCTTCCTCCACCTCCTCCTCCTCCTCCTCCTCCTTCCTCCTCCTCCTTCTCCTCCCTCCTTCCTCCTTCTCCTTTTCCTCCCCTCCTCCTCCTCCTCCGCTCCCTCTTCCTCCCCTCCTCCCTCCTTCTCCTTCCTCATTCCCTCCTTCCTCCTTCCTCATTCCTCCTCCTCCCTCCTCCTCGCCTCCTCCCTCCTCCTCCTCCTCCTCCTCCTCCTCCTCCTTCCTCCTCCTCCTCCTCCTCCTCTCCTCCTCCTCCTCCTCCTCCTCCTCCTCCTCCTCCTCCTCCTCCTCCTCCTCCCCCTGGCGGCCTCGCTCCCCTCGTCCTGAGGCCTGCTCGTGGCCGCCTTTGGGCCCTCTTTGTCCGGTAGCAAATCATCGGAGCCTGGTTCACCCTCTTTCAGGCGATCGCCTACATGGATCGGCGGCTATCTTGAGCGATCGGCGGCTATCTTGAGCCATTTGGGAGGCCACATTATAGCATCGGAGGCCCTCTTGGAGCTATCTTGGGCGACAACGACCCTTTGACATATCGCGTACCCCCCAAACAAAAACTCAGGGAAGGGAGGGGGCGGGTACCCCTCACCGAAGGGAAGAAGGGGCTTGTCAGGGGATCGCCAACATGGATCAAGGGGGCGTGGAATAGCGACGGGTCCTGTCTCCATGGGAAATAGGGCATTTCCGCCGCCGAACGAGGCGGCACTGGCCGCATTTTGGGGAGGGCACTTCCCCCGATCCATGGAGTTGGCGACCGCGCGCCAAATCATGGATCGCTAATCCATGTTTGCGCTCCCCCGACACTCAATTCCGTCGTCTGCGTCGACTGGCATGTCGATGAGATAGAGCCAGTCTAGCGTCGATGTGCGTCGATTTAGCGCCGATGAGCGTCGATTTGGCGTCGATGAGCGCCGACCCGCAGGAGCCGGCAAGATGGCACGGGAGGCCCCCATGAGTTGCCACAGAACTCTTACCGTCTCGGTGGCCCTCTTGGGCATCCTGGAAGGTCTACCTGGGCCGTCCTGGGCCCCTCGCGGGGCCGCCCTGGGGGGCCCTGGGGGGCACAGAGTTGGCACACCGCTCTTCGAGACAACGACACCCATCACCTACAGGAAGGCTTCGTCGAGAACACGCACCGAGCGCTGCGGCGCGACACGCCCATCCCCACGGTCGGGACAGCTTGCGCCGTAGCGGCATTCGCTCGCTCGTCCGATCGTTCGGGGTCGCCCTGGGGGCCCCTCGGGGGGCGCGCCCCTGTCCCGGGGGCCTGCTCGTGGCAGGACGCCGGTCTCGGGCCCTCCTGCTCTTGCCATCGTCCTGCCTGCCTGCTCTCTTCAGGTGCTCGTTTTCGGGGGGCCCTCCTGGGGCCTTCCTGGGGCCCACCTCAGGGATCGGCTCGACCCCGGTTCGAACACAGTTCGACCCAGGTTCGAGTCGAGCTCGACTCAGGCTCGGCTCAGGTTCAGCCCAGGTTCGACGCGAGGTCGGCTCAGATCGGCGGGTGGTCGGCGCAGCTTCGGCGCGCGAGGGGCGCGAGCGTCTCTTCAGGAGGGTCCCCACGGAGTGCGCGCCCAGCCCTCGCGCCGCGCGCGGCCCCGTGCGAGCTCCGCCGCCGACCCCCCCGCGCCCGCGGGAGCAACAAGCGGCCCCGGCAGCGCCTGCTGGACGCGGGGACCGTGGAGTTCGCGGCGGGGACCAGGCCGCGCTCGAGCAGCAGCAGCGGTGGCGTTCGTCGGCACCCACCGGTCGTCGACGTGCAGTGGAGGCCCACGCTCAGTTGCCCCGATGCGCCCGTCTTGAAACGCAACACGTCCCGTGTTCAAGACGTCCGTGTCGATACGTTGCGTGTTGGCCCCACGTGTTGGACCACGTGTTGGCGAATGCATCGCGTCGGACCTACGTTTTCAGTCTACGTGTTGAGCTCCGTATCAGTACGATACGTGTTGCGTGTTGCGTATCGGGGCAGCTAAGGGCCCACGCCAAGACACCCTCCTTGCCTCCAGGATGCCCTGGGCTTCCTGGGTTTCGATGCTTTTTGCGGTGGAGAGCGTGACGCTCCCACACCAAAAGTCAATGGACGCCCTGGGGTCTCAGGGTTGGGTTTCCCGGGGAAGGTTTCGTGTGGACCGGCCTCCACTGCAGGTTCTCTTGGCTCCCGGCTTACCAGGGTCCAACCTCCTTTGGGATTTTCTTGTTTCAAGAGTCGAACGCGTTCCCCCCCCTTTGGTCTTCAGGAGGCGGGTGGAAGCCCAATCTACTTCCAACGCCTCTCCATTGCATGTTTCGACCCACTGCTTCCGACCCGTGGGTACAGTCGCGACCGATGCGCCTTCGGCTCGAGGCTGCAGAGCATGGGCACCCTCGAGTCTCATCGTGTGCCTTGCTGTTTGCCACGCGCGCCCTGGTCTGCGCCCTCCGCAGGAGTCACGGGGTCCTCTTGGAGGAGGCCTTTGCCTCCGGTCGCGAACGGGAGGGACCATCCTCTCCCCGCCACCTGCCAAGCCTCTCCTCCTCTTCCGCCTCCTCCTCTTCTTCCTCTTCAAATCTTAGGACTCCTTGTCCTCCTCCTCTTCCTCAATCGCCTCCTCCTCAACTCTCAGGACTTCATGGCGTTCAATTATTTTGTCCTGCCGTGTCTTGTCTTGTCTTGTCTTGTCTTGTCTTGTCTTGTCTTGTCTTGTCTTGTCTTGTCTTGTCTTGTCTTGTCTTGTCTTGTCTTGTCTTGTCTTGTCTTGTCTTGTCTTGTCTTGTCCTCCTCCTCAAATCTCAGGACGTCCTTGTTCGCAATGGCGTTGTCTTGCCTTGTCCTCCTCCTCCTCCTCCTCCTCCTCTTCCCTCTCCTCCTCCTCCTCCTCTCTCCTCCTTCTCCTCCTCCTCCTCCTCCTCTACTCCTCTCCTCCTCCTCCTCCTCCTCCTCCCTCCTCCTCCTCCTCCTCCTCCTCCTCCTCCTCCTCCTCCTCCTCCTCCTCCTCCTCCTCCTCCTCCTCCTCCCCCTCCTCCTCCGAAGAGAGTGCGTGAGACGCTGCACCACATGGATGCGCAGCGCGCTATTGCAGCAGACAGTGGCGGAGTAGCATGACTCAGTTTGTGCGTGCGCAGGTGCGTTTCAGGTAATCCTTCCAGGTAAGCCCTCTTTCCTCGAAGAGTCAAAGTCGACATAGACATAGACTTTTAGCCGTCCGCGCGGATTTCTTTGGATCTGCGCGGGGACACCCTCCCTGGCGGGTTCTAGCCCAGATACTCCAGAGCCGGCGGATCTCAGAGATTCTCGATTTACCCTCACCCGATTTTATCATCATCCTGGCTTCGTCTTACCTTTCGCTCCTTCCCGTCGAAGACGCAAAACTGAATAAACATACATTTTCGACGCTCCACGCGGATTTCTAGGACCTTCGCCAGGACCCCTTGGCGGCGCCTCTGGCGCCGCTCTTGGCGCGCTCCGCGCGCCAGAGGTTGGTCCAGCGCAGATCCAAGGAATCCGCGCAGACCGTCAAACGGTGGTGTTTATGTTTTTGTTTGCTCCGCGACTCCCCTAATTACCCCTTTGCTCCACACCCCGCTCGTCCTTACCCCGCTCCTCCCCGCACTCGGGCCAGATCTTTTTGGAGGCCTCAGAAAAAGGCAACCACAATTCAGATCCTCGATCCTCCTCCTACTTCTCATCCCCTCCCCCTCGCCCTTCTCCTCATCGCCTCTGGCCTAGCTGCGGCAACGCAAGGCTTGACTTGTCCAAGTCGATGGGTTTCAAGAACAGCGTGATGTACTGCGCTGGGAGCCCAGACAGCTTCTTCTTTTTCACGTGCGCACGGCCGCGGCGTGGGTTAAGAGAGTGCCCATCGACTTCGAGGTAACACCTGTCCGTTTTCTTCTGCCTGGCGGCCTGCTTCCACAGCCCGCGAAGCGGGCAGACGTGTCCTCGAGACGAGCCAGAGGTCCCCGAGATTTGGGCGTCGAATCACTTTCGCACCAAGCGTTCGCCTACGACTCCAGGTCCTGGAGGCCTCACTCGGACGGGGCTAGGACGAGGATAAATCCGCTCTAGAGCGTTCCGGAACGCTCTCAGAGCGTTCCGGAACGCTCTGAGAAAGCCATGGCGCCCGATGCATTCTCCAGAGCCGCCAGATCTCAAGAGACTCTCGACTTGTCCGTACCCGAGTTTCGCTTCGTCCTGGCTTCAGCTTACTCGCGCATGAGTCTGGCCCGATAAGCGCCACAGAAGGACGGGGTGGAAACCTCCGATGGTATTGGATCGGAGATGCCGCATTCGTTCGGCACGTCAGCGCTCTGCGCAGGATCGGGGGCGGGCGGCCAAGAGGGGGGTGATGACTTGGGGGCGTGGACATCATGGCGGGGGCCATGATGCTTCCTCTGATTTCCTGGCGCCTCTTCTTCTTTTATGACGTCCCTGGCCCCCCCTCTGGGCCGCGCACACGGAGGGAGGAAGGAGGAGGAGGAGGAGGTGGGGTCAGACAGTGCACGATTCAAAACGAGTGCCCAACACAGGAGGATTGGGAAAAAAAACATACACACAACAAAAATTGGCGGGAGGTTTTTGCTAGTTTCCGGCCTCGGGGAGCCTTCGCCGGGCCTCGGGACCGTCAAACATTACCCTGGCGACGTACCCAACCCCTGCGCAAACGCGCGGCGCAAATAGTTTAGGAAATTTTATAAGGGGGGCGATGACGGAGCGAGGGTTACATATGTCTGCAGACGGAATTCGGGAGACTCGCAGGACACTGGCTACAGGACAAGGACTAGATAAAGCTGATTAGTTACAATCACTGAACAACCCTAGCCACTTCGAAAGCGGGGATCTCAGATCGCAGCCCCCCAGGGATGGCGAGGTCTAATTTGGGTCCGCGCGTGGCGTCACTGTGCTGGGCCCCAGCAGGCCTCGAAAGTGGCGACAGTTTCACAGATCGCAGCCCCCCAGGGATGGCGAGGTCTAATTTGGGTCCGCGCGTGGCGTCGCTGTGCTGGCCCCCCCAGCAGGCCTCGAAAGTGGCGACAGTTTCACAGATCGCACACAGTCCCCCCCCAAGCCGCCCCCAGGGATGGCGAGGTCAATTTGGTCCGCACGTGAGTCGCTGTGCTGGGCCCCAAGCAGCCTCGAAGTGTCGACCTATTTTTCACAGATTCGCGCCCTTCAGGGATGGCGGAGGTCTAATTTGGGTTTGGGTCCGCGCGTGGCGTCACTGCGCTGGCCCCCCCCAGCAGGCTTTCGAAGTGGCACAGTTTTCACAGATCCCCAAATCGCAGCCCCCCAGGGATGGCGAGGTTTAATTTGAATCTGCGGTGGGTACCCACTTTGTTGGGCCCCCCCAGCAGGCTTCGAAAGTGGCGACAGTTTCACAGATCGCAGCCCCCCAGGGGTGGCGAGGTCTAATTTGAACTTGCGGTGGGTACCCACTGTGCTGGGCCCCCCAGCAGGCTTCGAAAGTTGCGACCGTTTCACAGATCGCAGCCCCCCAGGGGCGGCGATGTCTCATTTGAATCTGCGGTGGGTACCCACTGTGCTGTGCCCCTCAGCAGGCCTCGGAAGTGGCGACAGTTTCATAGATCGCAGCCACCCAGGGGTGGCGAGGTCTAATTTGGGTCCGCGCGTGGCGTCACTGTGCTGGGCCCCCCGAGCAGGCCTCGAAAGTGGCGACAGTTTCACAGATCGCAGCCCTTCAGGGATGGCGAGGTCTAATTTGGGTCCGCGCGTGCCGTCTATGTGCTGGGCCCCCCAGCAGGCTTCGAAAGTGGCGACAGTTTCACAGATCGCAGCCCCCATGGATGCGAGTCTAATTTGGGGTCCCGCACATGGCGTCACTGTGCTGGGCCCCCCCCCCCGCAGGCCTCTCCCGCGCGAAAGTGGCGACAGTTTTCACAGATCGCAGCCCCACAGGGGATGGCGAGGTCGATTTGAATCCGCCCTGTGGCCACGTCGCTATGTGATGGGCCTCCCAGCAGGCTCCGAAAGTGCGACAGGTTTTCACAGATCGCAGCCCCCCCAGGGACGGCGATGTCAACTTCGGGTCCGCGCGTGGGCGTCACGTGCTGGGCCCCCCCCAGCAGGCTTCGAAAGTGGGGCGACGGTTTTTTTGTTTTTTTTTAAATTTTTTTATAAAAGATCGCAGCCCCCCAGGGATGGCGAAGTCTAATTTGAGTATGCGGTGAGTACCCACTGTGCTGGGCCCCCCAGCAGGCCTCGAAAGTGGCGACAGTTTCACAGATCGCAGCCCCACAGGGATGGCGAGGTCTAATTTGGGTCCGCCCGTGGCGTCACTGTGCTGGGCCCCCCAGCAGGCCTCGAAAGTGGCGACAGTTTCACAGATCGCAGCCCCCCCAGGGATTGGCGAGGTCCAATTGGGTCCGCACGTCGGCGTTCACTGGGCTGGCCCCCCAGCACGCGCCTCGAAAGTGGGGACAGTTTCACAGATCGCAGCCCCCCAGGGATGGCGAGGTCTAATCTGAATCCCCGTAGGGCGTCACTCCGCTGGGCCCCCCAGCAGCTTCGAAAGTGGCGACAGTTTCACAGATCGCAGCCCCCCAGGGATGGCGAGGTCTAATCTGAATCCCCGTAGGGCGTCACTCCGCTGGGCCCCCCAGCAGCCTCGAAAGTGGCGACAGTTTCACAGATCGCAGCCCCCCAGGGATGGCGAGGTCGAATTTGGGCCCGCGCGTGGCGTCACTGTGCTGGGCCCCCCAGCAGGCCTCGAAAGTGGCGACAGTTTCACAGATCGCAAGCCCTCACAGGGGGACGGCGAGGTCTAATTTGGGTCCTGAGCGGAAGATCACTGCGCTGGGCCCCCCAGCCGGCCTCGAAAGTTGGCGAAGTTGTTCACAGATCGCAGAACCCCGGGGATGGCGAGGTCTAATTTGGGTCTTCCCGTGGCGACACTGCGCTGGCCCCCCAGCAGGCCTCGAAAGTGACGACAGTTTCACAGATCGCAGCCCCCCCAGGGATGGCGAGGTCTAATTTGGGTCCGCGCGTGGCGTCACTGTGCTGGGCCCCCCAGAAGGCCTCGAAAGTGGCGGCAGTTTCACAGATCGCAGCCCCCCAGGGATGGCGAGGTCTAGTTTGAGACCGCCCGTGGCGCGTCGTCACGTGCCGGGCCCCCAGCAGGCCTCGAAAGTGGCGACAGTTTCACAGATCGCAGCCCCCCAGGGATGGCGAGGTCTAATTTGGGTCTTCCCGTGGCGTCACTGCGCTGGCCCCCCAGCAGGCCTCGAAAGTGACGACAGTTTCACAGATCGCAGCCCCCCCAGGGATGGCGAGGTCTAATTTGGGTCCGCGCGTGGCGTCACTGTGCTGGGCCCCCAGCGGGCCTCGAAAGTGGCGACAGTTTCACAGATCGCAACCCCCCCAGGGATGGCGAGGTTTAATTTGAATCCGCCCGTGGCGTCACTGTGCCGGGCCCCCCAGCAGGCCTCGAAAGTGGCGACAGTTTCACAGATCGCAGCCCCCCGCAGGCAAGACAGGAGGAGGCAAGAGGGAGACGGGACGGGAAGGAGGAAGTGGAGACCACACTGCTCTATTCCAAACGAATATCCAACCAAGGAGGGTTGGGAAAATGATTCCGGACGAAAAACCCAGGTTCCGGGGCAAAGGTCAGAACCTTCCAGGGACCCCGCATCGAACAAATCAGGACGTCGCACGTCTGGGCGCGCAACCCGGAGCCTCACCAACCCTGATGCCGCCGACGCCCCGCCTCCTCCTCCTCCTCCTCCTCCTCCTCCTCCTCCTCCTCCCCTCCTCCTCCTCTCCTCACCTCCTCCTCCACCTCCTCCTCCTCCTCCTCTCCTCTACTCCTCCCTCCTCCTCTCCTCCCCTCCTCCCCTCCTCCCCCCTCTCCTCATCCTCATCCTCCCTTCCCCTTCCCCTCCTCCTCCTCCTCCTCCTCCTCCTCCTCCTCCTCCTCCTCCTCCTCCTCCGCGTCCCTCGCGTGGCCAAGGTCGCGCCCATCGTCCTCGGCGACTTCCCCCCCGCGGTCTACGACTTCTGGGCCGTCGGCACGGACTGCTGCTCCGAGCACTCGGCCCCCGCCCCCCGCCGCGCAGCGCCGCCGTGGCCGCCGCCGACGGCGGCGCTGTGACGGCGGCGCGCTGCCGGCCGGAGCCGTCGTTTCTCTACTTCGCCCTAGGTCTATTGTGTGCCTTGGTAGCATCTCGTTATGTTGTTACATCGATTATCCCTACGCCATCATTCACCTCTCCACCGATCCTGTCTAGTTTCACCTCCCGACTCAGACACGATCGTTTCCCTTCCCTCCACACACTATTCCCAGTCCCATCAGCTCTCATGTTCTCCTCTTCCTCCTCTACCACTCCGCCTCTACCTTCATGCACGACCCCTCATTCTACCCCCTACCCCTTGTGTCCCTTTCTTGCCCCCCCACCCGTTTCCTTTCGCCTCCCTTCCTTTGTCTTCGCTTTGTCTTGTCAACGTTAGGTCTCTCATACCATCCTATGGTAGCAGCAAATGTGTGTACACACCGCTACGCATGAGCAACTCTCCCATCCCGCTGCTGCATGGCCTTTCTGCACGAAGACTTTCTCTCGCCCTGCGACACGACGTATGACCTCGTCGGGGCCTTTGGGGCGGGAGGGCGGGGCAACAGCGAACGCACCCACGCACGGCCCACCTCTGCTCGGGCGGTGTGCCTACACACATGTCACACATGATTGGGTTCCCGTTGGGTGCGTGGGGAGGGCCTTCCGAGATCCATAGAACGCAGATGAGAAAGACCACGCTCCACTCACTCCTCCTCCTCCTCCTCCTCCTCCTCCTCCTCCTCCTCCTCCTCCTCCTCCTCCTCCTCCTCCTCCCCCTCCCCCTCCCCCTCCCCCTCCCCCTCGAGAGACGAGACGAGCGCCACCACCACGGAGCCAAGCATCCATCAGGACGCGCAGGCAGAAGAGAGCATGGTTGGCGACTCTTCGCAAGAGAGGAGATTGCATGCACGAGAGGCGCTGCAGAGCAGCATCGCGTGAGCATGCTGGGGGAAGGCAGGGAAGACAGAGGGAAGGCATCATTCAATGGGTCCCTTAACGCACTTCTTTGCTCCATTGCTGTCGCCGCCGACCGCGCTTTCCGGTTGGAGACGAGCGGGAGCTTGTTTTAGCGGACGGAAAGCAGTAGAAGTTGAATCGTGCCACCATCGGGGACGCTTGTCGCAGGGCGGCCTGAAAGTCTTATTCCCCGACGTGCCACCGCAAGGGCGTCAACATTCCAGCCGCTTGTAACAGGCATCCCCGATGGCGGGAAAGTAAAAGAGGTGTTGTTCTTCGTGCGCTAAGTGATGGGTGGGGTCGACGGATGTGGCGTAGCGCTGGGAAGGGGTTAGGGGGAGACAGAATAACGTAGCACAATGCAACACGCATTTACTATGTAAGAACGGAATACACTGCAAGTGTGCAATCATTTACCACACCGGATATGTTGCATGATCGCTTCCGCAGAAAACGCTGCCGCTCAGCACGTCACTTCCGGACGTGGGTCCTCGATTCCACAGGCTTGCGCCACATCCGCCGGCCCTCCTAAGTGCAGATGGTTCCCCATGTTTCAGGGGGCGTCCAGGACGATGATGATGCCGATGAGAGGGAGAGGGTGGGCTTTGGGGGGCGTCTTGGGGGCATCTTGGGCCGTCTGGGGGTATCGCCCGATGTTATCTTCACCCGAATGGATCCTCGTCCTGACTTCGTTTTAGGGTTATGATGTTCCAACCTACTTTAGCCTTCATCACCAGCAAGAATTTCGAAAACCACAGAAAAATCGAAATTCGAGGTTTTTGCACGTGTCGGGCCCTGGGAGACACTCGCCCGACGCTGTTTCGACACTGTTTCAACACTCTTTTGCACTTTTCCGGGTGCTCGAAATAATTTCTGGGATGTGGTGCGTAAATAGGATGGGAACCACATAATTTTAGGGGTGGGGGCAACGGAAGGCGGGGCGGCCAGAGCTGCCCCGCTTGGCCAGCGGCAGGCGGACTTCGCGTGCGGCGAGTACGACAACCCGGACGCCAGGCCCCCGCGGGCGCGCGGCGCGAGGGAAGGGGGGAGCTGCAGGGGCGAAGGGAGAGCTGCGAGGGGGAAGACGGGGAGGGGGGAGGGAGCAGGGAAGAGGAGGAGGAGGAGGAGAAGGAGGAGGAGGAGGTAAAGAGGGAAAAGGAGGAGGAGGAGGAGGAGGAGGAGGAGGAGGAGCAGGGGGAGGAGGAGCTAGGCCTAACGGGCAGGAGTTTCCACGACGCCGTTGGCACCCATTTCGGCCCCGGTGTTCACAGCAAGGGATACACACTTTCCGCAGGGACTGGGGAGAGGGGACCACCCTTCCCAGGACGACGCATCCTGGCCCTGCGGCCCTGGCGCGCATCCTCGACCACGTCCGCGCCGAAGCCCGCGCAGCTCGCGGCGCCCCGGGCCCGCAGCATTTTCGGGAACGACGCTGCCAGCCAGCTCGCCGCGAGATTCCCGCCTCCGCACGCCACGCGCGCCCCGAGACTCAGGATGGGGAGCCCGGCCCGTCCGCAGTACGCCGTGCCCCAACCGTTCCGCGCCAGAGTGCCAGGACAGGCGCTCCGCGAGGAAAGCATGCCCAAGGTGCGCTCCCCGTTTTTTTTGTTTAACAGACGCGTATGCTCCAGTTTCCGTGGCCACGTCCCACCTGGGGCACCTTGTGCGCCAGCTTTACCTTGAGCGACCTAGTCACCAGGCCCCCTCTCCGCCCTCAGTGGGCAAACGCTCCCCAGCCTCGTCATCTGGAACGCGCGGCATCTTCGCGGCACGCTTCCTTACGAGAGCCATGCTAACTGATCCACCATCACACAGGGAAGCGCCAATGAGCGCGTCTCCCGACCACCAGACCCACAGGTCCAACCGCGACGCCGGGGCGCGGGTTGCCACGTTCCCCGCGCGGCGAGTGATAGCCTCGCCCGAATTTGGGGGGCCAAAGGAAGGATGGGCCGGCGCGGCCGCCATCGCCCCACCGCCAACTTATGAGCTAGTTCACATTTCCAACCTGGTCAACGGGTGCGCCATCATGGCCACAGTTCGGAAGAGCGACCAGATCACGAGCCTGTTCTCAGTTCGCCTGCCGTTTGGCAGACGGCCGGACGCGCTGAACGACCCCACCAACGCCGTTTCAGACTCGGAGTTGCTCCCAGCCCCAGACACGGCGAGCCGAAGGACGTCGCCGCTTGGACCTCGCTCTTAGCGCGGCACCCCCTCCCCTCTGCCATGGCCAGTGGCCCCGCGAGGCCACGCAGGGAAGACGAGGTCACAGATCGACGCGATGGCCACCCAGGCTACCATTGCGGGACTGGTCGCCATCCGCAGAGCCGGGGAGACGCCCCTCTCCGACCACGCAGTTTTGCGCGCCAATCTCGCGGCGCAACCGGCCAATCGGCGGGGCTGCGCGCTCCGACTGGGGGCGCCCGAGCCCCTGCCCGAGGGGCGCCGGCCCGCGCCGTCGGCGCGCCCTTCCTGGAACGCACCTGGGCGCGCCAGGCGTTGATCTCACCGGTCTCCCCCGGCCGATCGACTGCGCGAGGGCCGCCTGGCCCAGGCGCCTTCCCGCGGGGGCATCCGTCGCGGGCGCAGGGGGCGCCCTGCCTAGCGTGGACTCGCGGGGCGAGGCGGCCCCCGCCCCCCACGAAGATGCCCTTTTTCATCGACTCCGCTGGAGTTCGACAGACCAGCCCCGCCCGCCACCTCATCGTCGCGGCGGGTGGCCTGGGATCGAAAACAGCGCCGCCTGGGGCGGCGCCGACTTCCCTCTGGCGGACTCCGCGGCTTGGGAGCGCAGCGCGGGGTCGACCAGGGCCAGCGGCGGACCGCAGGCGCCGAAAGTTCCCCCCAGGCGCAGCACGACCAAATGGGAAGATCACGTTTAAGACATGCGCGGCGCCGCGAACAGGCGGCAGGCGGCGCGAACGCCCAGCCGACGCGGGCCACGCACTGTTGAATGGCAGGTCAGATCCACGGAAGTTCGCGCCGCCCCCCCCCCCCCTTCCGCCACCCGCGCAGCGACGGGCCGCCGGGCGCTGGCCTGCGAAGTCTTGCGCCCGGATCGCAGGGCAACGCGCGAGGTCGCGGATGCTCGACGACGACCTGCGAATGAGCTCCGGAAGATCTTCGCGGCGCACGCATTGGGAGACGAGATGGATAGCTTTTCCAGGGCGAGGTGCGAGGCCCAGCAAGGCGCTGCGGGGTGCACTTCCAGAAGCCTCCGCGCAGCGAAAACCCCTGGGCGCCCGCTCTGCTGGCGGCCGGCCGCTCGGGCTGCCCCGAGCGCCCGAAGCCCGCGCGCTGGGTCGCGGACAGCGGCTGCGCCCCCGGCGCGGGCGGGGGGCCGCGCGAGGCCCGCAGCCAAGACGCTGAGTTATAATTGTATCTCTTGGGTGTTCATTTTTCAACTTATTTGGTATTTAGATATGATTTTGAGATGTTTATTATAATGAGATTGAGATTGTTATTGAGAATTTATTAATGAATATGATGTGTTTTTATCTGTGCAGATTTTTTGAGGTAATTATGATGATTAATGATTTTAATTGATGTTTTTAAAATTGGTCAGCCAAGACGCTGAGATAAGGAACCGCTTGGGTAGGGGCTCGATGCCCCCCCGTCGCGCGCCCGCGGGCACTTCTGACGCGCGTAACGGGCTCCGTTAATTCCTTCTGCGGCGTTCCTTATTTCAGCTGCCCCATTGCGCCGCCCGGGCACGCGCTTCGCCCCGCGCCTGCTCGCCCGCGCCCGGCGCGCTACTGACCGGCGCCCGCGCGCGCGGCCAATGGCCCTAGGGCCATCCGCCGTCCTCCCCGTCCGGGCCCTGAGGGCCCCCGACGCCGGGCGCCCGAGCGATCTCGATCTGCGGCCGCTGCAGATCCCCGGCGGCGCCTCTACGGGGCCACGCCCGAATCATTTTGCATTGCGGAGCGCTCCCACATCAGGCCCATGCCCGTCGATTTGCAGCCGCGCTGCCTGACCTGCGCGCCCCCGACCCCCCGGGGACTCGCGAGTCTCCGGGGCGCGGGCGCGAGCGGCGCGCCCGCGACGCGCGCCGGGAGGCCACGGCACGAGCCACAGATGTCGCCAAGAAAGCCGCGCTCTGCGAGCTCGCGCTGATCGCGGACCCGCCGCGACGAAGGACAACCGCGGCGGCTGGACTGGGCGCTATCAGGTGCTCAGAGATGAGCCTGAGCGCGGACACCTCGCTGCAAAAGTGGACCCCCGCGACGTTGCGGCCTAGCGCCCGGGCGCCCGACGCGCGCAATGCGCAAATTTTTTCCGCGGGAGAAATTGGCGCGGACGACGCGGCCGCACGATCGGCGCCATCCGCCGCTTCCAACCTTGGGCCAGGAGGGCCAGCCATAATCTCCGGGCGCAGTCACGACGGTCAGCAGTCTGAATCCAAGAGCCATCTTGGCATTGCCATGCCATATGCGGAATTTTTATCAAATCGCAGAAAAGTATGTTTAGGGGCACTTGCCAAGAGCGTCGCGCACATCCCCCTGTCACGCGTGCGTCGAGTTGCAAGCCCAGACATCGCCATAACGAGGTGGGCCCTGGGCTTCGCCACTGAATCTGAAGGCGCCGGGCTACAAGTTCCAGGCGTCACCAGTTTTGCCCACGCTTGTTTCGTCCAGCGATTGAATTCTCCAGTCGCGCCTCAGGTTTTGACGAGGATCTCGCGAATTCCCACGGCAACCTTGATCCCCCGTCAAAGATGGACGGGCCTGGACTCAGGCACGAGCCTGAAACGCCAATTCCATTTGGCCATAGCGATGGTCGTCCGCCGCCAATCTGCAAGGACAGCGGCGACCCGAGAATTGGAGCGACGAGCGACCCAGAGACATGCGCCAAGTACCGTCTATGACTACGAAGCCCATCGCACCCCCTCCATCATGATCCTTGATCAGCGCGCGCGTGCGTTAGCGATGGACGACGACGGCGACTGGCGCGGAGACCTGCCCGAGCAAATGTTTGGGGACTGCCATCTGGATGGAGACGAAAAGGGCAAGCGCGTAGAATTGCGAAGAACTGCTGACGCGGCGAAAGCGACTCTCAATTGCAAAATGGCGCATTCTCTCGGGAAGGGGGGCGCCGCCACCACGCGCGCATGCTCGTTGACGGCAGCAAAACGCGCAGCAGCCGGCAAAGAGGATGATGCACTTACAAGAGCAGACATCGCGGAGGACCCAGAGGGACAGAGCGAGGCGCTCTCAAATTGATCTGACGATGTGGACCGACAGCGCACGCGTTGATGCATGATCCGTCGGAAGACTCTAATGCAACGGCTTCTAGACACGCGCGCGAGCGAAATATGTGGAAGGCGCGGATGACGCGCCAGCGCGAACCAGCCGATTAGCAGCTACATTCGGAGGATCCATATACGCCGATGCGTTTGACATCGAAATTTGCTCCGGCGCCGCCCTCCGCCCATCGCTGCGACCGCTCGCTTGCGAGGCGGCCCGCCATCTCGAACAGCTCACGGCACACGCGGCCGCCGACAATGCATCCCCTGAAATTCTGACACATGAGGAACTGGCGGCAGCGAAGGGAAAGGAATCTCGCTTGGTCTGCTGCACGCTTCCAGCAGAAAGCGCCCAGGTGCCGCGCGCCCTGCCAGGCGTCTCTCAGCGCGCCGAAAGCCGACATTGCGCGCGATGTGCATCGGCGCTTCTGCGCACCACATCGCGAGCCATCGGTCTGAATCTTTCGGGCTCCGAGGCCGAACTGCAATTCGGCCCCCGCCCAATCGCGCCCACGCGCGTGGGCGACATCGATATGGCAGGATCCCGAGACGACCTTGGCAACAATATTCGGCGGGTCGCGCATGCGTTTGGCGAGTGCAAACGCAGCCAACACACGCGCACAAACTGCGCCTCCCGCAGAGAGTGGCACCGGGGATGCGACTACGGATCAGGGCGAATCGATCACATTTCTCAGACCCGCAAGCGCCCCGAACACAGTGACGCACCTGGGGGGGCCGGGGCAGCGAGCCTCCGTGCAGCCCTGGTCCGCGCGGTCGTCCTCAGAAGCTGGTTGACGGTCTACGCGGCCATCGACATCCGCACGCGCCACTCGCACGCTGCACCGAGGAAACTGTCAGGAGGGGAAAAAACACAGACACAATGAACCGTCGATTCCCCAGAAAGTATGGGAAACTATGGGAAGCGGGGGGAAGACAGAAAACCAAATAATATGGGAAAATATGGGGAATCCGGTTATCTGTGTGTATTTATTTGTGCGTCCCAGGGCCCCTTCAAACTGATCAGCGACCCCGAGAGGATAACCCGTTCTCGCGTGCGCCCCACGGGCGAGGTAGACGTTCACAGCGACTCAGGGCATCGCAAAGCCGATGTCGGCGAGGACGATGAGACGCAGGGCCACGGCATCCAAGGAGCAAGTCTACTTCGGCGAGGAGACCCGCCCAACGGCGAGTCCGTCGTATTGTTTTGCGACGGCATCTGCACATCACTTTCGGCTTCAGAGTAGGTCCAGCTACGCAGCGGGAGCCGCAGCGGCTCCTCACAAGTTGAACGCGGCATACCCCGCGCGTCGTACGCGACATGGGCTACGGGCCAGTCCACGGTCCCCAAAGCTCAACGTGGCGCGAGGGAAGTAGGCGGTCTGGCTATTTGGGTATCCGCAACTATCGATGCGGAAGCGGCATGCAAATCGTTATCCAGCAAGGATTGAAATATCCCGACTGAGCGCCCCGTGCTTGGTCGCATGCGTTGGATGCGTTTGATCACGGGTATACGTATTGTCAATATTACACACTGGAATGGCACTTGGGATGTAACCGCATATGGTCATACAAGATGGATTTTCGAGAGGGGCTGGATTTGGGACGTGACGGTTGGAAACGCTTCGTTCAAGAATGATGTCCAAATCGATCGTTCAAGCAAAAAGCCGCATTGATGCGAAATCGAAAGGCCCAAAGGTAAGATACTGAGCGAGTCAGGTACTTTGTTTTGGCGATCCATTGTCCGCAGATCGCCACAGTAGTGCGCGTGCAGTGATTTTGCAGGCGCGTCCTGTCGGCCCTACACTGAGCCAGTCGTCGAAATGCCGCTTGGGATCGAGCATTCAATAAAGCGAACAGATGTGCCCAGGCTTGTCGGCGAGGACCTCCAGGCGCCTGGTCTGTGTGGTTGTTTCGGCACCCTGTTGCCGAATGTTGGGGGGATGGGTCCGACTGGTCTCACTCCTGGCCTCGGTAGTCTCTGGTGTTGTCAGAGCTTGACCTCTTTCAGGCCGTTTTGTCTGAAGCACTCTTTTGTTTTAGTGCGCGCCGTGAACCCGCATAGGGCCGCTGAGTGCTACGGCGTGTTCCCTCTCTCCGATGTTCAAAGGGGGCGTCCGGGGAGCCGGATGCATGCCCTCTTGCCGTCCTGGTTCAAACCACACGCGCCTTATGTGACGCCGCGCTGTTGCGCGGCCTATGTCAGAGGAACAAGTGCGCCGTTCTCTCGCCCAACACCGCATGTCACCCCATACTACTTAACTCGTTCCTGATGTCCCGTATATGTGATGTATGCGATGTGACGTGACGACGCTCGCTTCGACGAGCTTGGTCATCAAGCTTGCGGCGCTTCTGGAAGCCAATTGCCAACAAGATGTACGTAGGCGGCGCTGAAGTGCAATATAACAACCTTGTAAACAGGTAATTCTGCAGCAACGCGTACTGCTGACAGCGGCCAAAGCCTTTTCCTCTCCACTGTCGGACGGGTCTATCCCATGAACCACAATGACTACGGAATTGATCTTGACTGCTTACGGACGAGGAGACGAAACGACGATGAGGGTGGAGGAGGAGGAAGAGGAGGAGGAGGTGGGACGAGGAGGGACGAGGACGGAGGAGTGAGCGAAGAGGAGGAGGAGGCGGCGGGAGGAAGAGGAAGAGGAGGAGGTGGAAAGAGGAGGATGAGCAGGCATTGGCGGTGGACTGCGGCATGGACAAGACAGTTCATGTCAATTTCCGCATGGTCGGTTCCACTTCACTCTTAAGCACGAGGTCTAACAGAAAAAATGCACGTAGGGAGCAAGATCATTCAGAAATGAGTATGCCAGCTGCGTCCAGGTGGACGCTGTCTTCACCTGCGAGAAGAGGCTGGGCGGGGGCGGCTTGGGCAGCGAACGAGTAGATGAGCCCCTTGCTGGATATTAGATTTGGGGTTGTGCTATCGCATCAAACAATAGTATCCCGGCCAACACCTGCGGACCGGAGTGGGCCAACACCTGCGGGGGTGGTCGTGCCATTAGCAGCAGAGTCGGCCAAGGTCCGCAAGCGTTCGGTAGAAGGAGGAAGAGGAGGAGGAAAGGGAGGAGGAGAAGGAGGAGGAGGAGAAAGAAGAAAAGGAAGAGGAGGAAGAGGAGGACGAGGAGGAGGAGGAGGAGGAGAAGGAGGGAGGAGGATAGGAGGAAGGATGAGGAGGACGAGGAATGAGAGGAGGAGGAGGCGGAAGGAAGGAAGAGGGAGGAGGAGGAGAGGACAGGAGGAAAAGAAGGAGGGTGAAGGAGGGGGTGGAGAGGAGGTGGAGAGAGGAGGAGGAGGCAGGAGGAGGAAGAAAGGAGGAGGAGAGGAGAAAGAGGAGCGGAAAGGGGAAGGAGGAAGAGGAAGGAGGGGAGGAGGTTGGAGAAGGAGGAGGATGAGGAGAGGAGTAGGAGGGAGGATGAGGAGGAGGAATAAGAGGAGGAGGAGGAGGAGGAGGAGGAGGAGGAGGAGGCGGAAAGGAGAGGAGGAGGAGGAGAAGGAGGAATAGGAGGAGGAGGAGGAGGAGGAAAAGGAGGAGGAGGAGGAGGAGGACCAGGAGGAGGTTGGGTGGGATGAGGAGGAGCCCGTTGCCACCCCGCAACCCCTTCCTGACAGAGGTCCGGTCTCCGCCTGACCTCCACATCCCAGAAGGAGTACTACGCCCTGGCCGTCGAGCAGGCCGAGGCCGCGCGCGGGGCTGGGGAGGGGGAGGGGCAGGCCTCGAGGAGGGAACGGGCACGAGTTAGCTTTTCGCCCGCCGAAGATGAATGGGGAAACGAGGAGGAGGACGAGGACGAGGACGAGAACGAGGAGGAGGAAGAAGAGGGGGGGGAGGAGGAGGAGGAGGAGGAGGAGGAGGAGGAGGAGGAGGAGGAGGAGGAGGAGGAGGAGGGGAGGAGGAGGAGGAGGAGGAGGAGGAGGAGGAAAGAGGAGGAGGAGGAGAAGGAGGAGGAGGATGGAGGAGGAGAAAGGGAGGAGGGAGGATGGACGGAAGGGGAGAAGAAGAAGAGGAGGAGGAGGTGGAGGAGGAGGAGGAGGAAGGGGATGAGGAGGAGGAGAGAGGAATAAGAGGAGGGGAGGAGGAGGCGGAGGAGAAGGAGGAGGAGGAGGAGGAAGAGGAGAAGGAGGAGCAGAGGAGGAGAGAGGAGGAGCAGGAGGAGGAGGAGGAGGAGCAGAGGAGGAGGAGGAAGAGGAGGAGGAGGAGGAGGAGAAGATTGGGAGGAGGAGGAAGAGGAGGAGGAGGAGGAGGAGGAGTCAGCTTTTGGTTTGCCGATGAACTTTTGGTGTTCCGCGCGGATTGCCTCGATCGGTGTCTGGGCCCTCTTGGCGGCGCCCCTGGCGCCGCCCCCTGGCACGCTCTGCGCGCCAGGGAAGGGGATCCAGCACCGATCCAAGAGATCCGCGCGGACCACCGAGAAGTCGCGTGTCTGCCGGTTTGTTCTTCCAGCCCGACGGGCGAGGTCGGGGCCATGCTCGGCTTCTTGGGCGCCCCGCGCCGCCACGGCCGGACGCAGCTCGAGAAACGGACCCAGACGGGCGCCGTGAAAGAGCCGGGGATCGGGCGAGTAGCAATAGGGGGCCACATGTGAACCCTACCCCTACCCCCCACGATTTCTGAGGGGGAGGGGTAGGGGTCACATGTGGCCCCCTAAGCAACGGAGGGTGACCCACATCGGGGGGTGAAGAAGAAGGCCCTGCAGAGGCCCTGTAGGGCCCCTCTTGGGCACCAGCTGGCTCCAAAGGGGGCCCTAAAGGGGCCCGTTTAGGGCCTTCCTCACTTGAGCGACGCAAGAAAAGGGGCTCGTCTTCAGCGACTTCGCGTCGGCGCGCAAGCTGCCCGCGCAAGGTCGCGCGTGAGCGCCCTCGTCTCCATTGTGGCTTGCCGCGCTGGTGGCCCGCGTAAGCCACCGCGCAAGGTCGCTGTGCCACCTCGCGTGAGAACCGCTTCCAGTCGTCGCTCATTTGGGCCACCTCCCGCTGCCACCCGCCCGAGGGGTGTAGGGTTTAGGATTTAGGGTTCTGGGTTTAGCGTTTAGGATATAGGATGTAGGGTTTAGGGGACCCCCCCATTACAACCTTCCCGAGGGTTTGGGGGTTTAGGGCTTTCGTGTTAGGGTTGAGGGTTCAGGGGACCCCCGTGACCGCCCGCCCGAGGGGCTCAGTTTAGAGCAGCGCCCGAGGCGTCCCCATCTTAGTTGCCTCGATACGCGCGTTTTGAAACGCAACACGTCCCGTGTTCAAGACGTCCGTGCCAATACGTTGCGTGTGGGCTCCGCGCATTGGACCACGCTTTGACGAACGTACCGCGTCGGACCTACGTTTTCAGCCCACGTGTGGAGTTGGCGCGATACGGAACTCAACGTAGGTCCGACGCGGTACATTCGCCAAAACGTGGTCCAATGCGTGGAGCAACACGCAACGTATTGACACGGACGTCTTGAGCACGGGACGTGCTGCGTGTTGCGTATCGGGGCAGTTAAGATCCCCGTGCAGGACACGGGCCCGGCTTCCTCGGGCTCCTTGGCCGGGGCCCTTCGGCCGCCGGGCGCGCGCCCCCGCGCTGCCGGCGCGGCGGGCCCGCCGCCGCCGAAGGGGGGCGCGCCCGGCAGAGCGCCGGCGCCGCTCGTCGTCGTCGCGCTCGTGGTCGTTGTCGTCTGTCGTTGTCGCTTCCGTGGTCGTCTTCGTGCTCTTCCCGCGAGGCCTAGGTTTTGGCCGCCCGTGTTCGTCTCGCGGTCGCCTTCGTTGTCGTTTCCGTGGTCGTCGTCGTCGTTGTCGTTGTCGCCGTCGATGTCGTCGTCGTGTTCGTGTTCGTGTTCGTGCTCGTCGTGTTCGTGTTCGGTTTTGGCCGCCCGTTGCTGGCTCACCGGGGCCATCCGCGGGGCCCCGGGGCCGTGAAGAGGCAGCCTCGAGCGAAGAGCTGCCGGGGAGAGAAGCCCCATGGGTACAGAGCCCGACTCCGCGAGGGCCAGGTCCTTCAAGCCAAGAGCATCGAGGTTCCAGGAGGAGGAGAGGGAGGACGAAAAGGAGGAGGAAGGGGAGGAGGAAGAGGAGGAGGAGGAGGAGGGGGAGGAAGAGGAAAGGAGGGGGAGGAGGAGGAGGAGGAGGAGGGGGAGGAAGAGGAAAGGAGGGGAGAGGAGGAGGAGGAGGAGGGAGGAGGAGGAGGGAGGAGGAGGAGGAGGAGGAGGAAGAGGGAGGAGGAGGAGGAGGAAGGAGGAGAGGAGGAGGAGGAGGAGGAGAAGAGGAGGAGGAGGAGGAGGAGAAGACGGTGGGCTCGCGTCTGCCTGTTCACCCCGACCGTCGCCCCGCCCCCCCCCCCTTCACCGCTGCAGCTTGACGCTTGCAGCGGGCTCGAACTGGGGTCCCTGTGGCCGTCCTTGTCACCTCTGCGTGTTGACGGCGTCCCCCTGTGCCACGACCGTGGAGCGATGGAGGTAATGCTCCCTCTGCGGCGACAGTGGCACAGGGGGGTCGCCATTTGGTGGGCTGGCTTGGCACGGGGGCGGATTTGGTACAGCCCGTTCGCCCTGACCATCGCCCCGTGCCCCCCACCCAACAGCGGCCCTTGTCTTGTATAGCTGACAGTGGCCGTTGCCTGTTTCTCCCTGTTTTTGCCTCGGGTCTTGCACTGCCGGATCCGTGTTGTTGGTAAAACTGGTCAAACAGGATGAGGACGACGACGACGGCAACGGGGAGGAGGACCAGGAGCAGGAGCAGGAATAGGAGGAGGACGGCAATGGAGGAGGAGGAGGAGGAGGAGAAGGAGGAGGAGAACCAGCGTAAACCAAAGATGCACAAGCGCTGCTGCAACGCACCCTCCCGTTCCAAGTTCCTTCCTCATGCGCATTGGGCATGCCATTTTGGCGAGGGCCCCGCATTGAATGCCTTGGTTCTCCCTGGCGCGTAATAAGAAACGCGAGATAATGGTCGCGCAGTTAGTGGTGTTCGGTGAGATCGCCCTTTCGAAGAAAGATTATCTCCCCCCCAGCTCGTGTAATTGTTGCACAAGTTTACGTACACTTGTAACAGCGGATGTCGAGAAAGTGTCAAGCGACATGTTCATTTTGAAAAAGAGCCACCATGAAACCGGGGAACGCTACGTGCGTTGAATTGTCGGTTGTTGACCTTAACGAAGTCTCACGCGAGACGTCAATTTTGAATGACATGCCCCCATCGTAGTAAACGTCGGATTCTAAAACGAATGCGCGCGGCGCTGAGGCGGGAACCCCGTGTTGAAAACGGTCAGTGTTCGATCTTCTAAATTGTTGCAGGATTCTGGGACGAATGTTTGCGGCGCTAAGCGGGACCCTACTTTGCAAAATAGTTGTTTCCCATCCGCGAAGCTAGCGCAAGTTTTCAAAACAAGTGCTTGCGGCGCTAAGCGGAGATAGTAGTTGTGGGAACGATCTCCCCCTCTATTCCTGATAAGGTTGCAAAGTAAAGCGGGAGTCACAATTTGGAAGCCCACACACACACACACACACACACACACACACACACACACACACACACACATACACACAGCTGTGAAACAGCTGCGGACTTTCAAGAATAATGTGCGCGGCGCCAAGGCGAGAGCCACAATTTGAAAACGGGCCGCCTTCATCCGTGAAGCTGCTGCAAACGTTTAAGACGGGTATGCGCCTCGCTAAGGCGAGAGACACATGTTGAAAAGGAGCCGCCCTTCTTTCTGTGAGACCTCTGCAAGTTTTCAACACGAGTGCGCTCAGCGCCAAGGACAGAGTCAGAGTTTGAACACATATCCCCCTTTTTCATTGAAACTGCTGCAAACTTCAACGTTCAAAACGAATGCGCGCCGCGCTAAGGCGAACGCCGCGTTTAGAATACGAACCCCTGTAAGACGAATGTGCGCGGCGCCAAGGCGAGAGCCACATTTTACCCCACCCCCCCCGTTTCATCCGTGAAACGCGTGAACATGTTTAAGACTAATACGTGCGGCGCGACTGCGAGAGCCACATCTTGACCACCCCTCCTCCATCCGTGAAACTGGTTACAATTCCAAGCTTCCGATCACAACTGGTAAGGAAGTCTGAAGGCCAAACGCCGGGCCCGCCCTACCGACACGTCTGGGGGTGCGGCAAGGAGGAACCAATGCTTGTGAAGGACAGGGCTTGAGGAGGAGAGGAAGGAGGAGGGAGGAGGAGGAGCTTCGAGGAAGGGGCTCGAGGCCCCAGGAGGAGGGATGGAGGAGGAGGGAGGAGGAGGGAGGAGGAGGGAGGAGGAGATCGAGGAGGAGGGAGGAGGAGGAGGAGGAGGTGCTTCGAGGGATGATGGGCGGGCGAGGAGGCCGGATGGAGATGAGCGGGGCGAGGGAGGCAGGAGGACCCCGACGGTGCAAAAAAGACGCGGCGGTGGCCGTTTCCGGAAACCCAAGACCGTGACAACAACAGTCGCGCACGAGGAGCCCGCCCTGGGGAAGGGGTCGACACCTCTGCGGCCACACGTCAAAAGCACTACGTCTGGGGTCTAGGTCAGCATGGTGCTCGTTGTTTTATTCCCCATATCCTGAGATGGGGTTCTTGTTATTCCCCACATGTTTCGTGGGGTTCTGGTTTTCTTCCCTGCCGCGTCGCACCCGCGTCTCACCTCACACCTGCCGCGTCGCACCCGCGTCTCACCTCACACCTCCCCTCCTCCTCACAGCACTGCCACCGGAGGGGGTGCAC